CTTAGTGTATTTGGCAGTCCCTCACCGCTTGGCGTTGAAATTGCCCATTGCGTTTGACCGCGAAATTCATAGAGTTGACCATGGCGCTAGCGAGTTGAGTGGGTTGTTGATTGCTGAGTCTTACGTACCTCTGGTACGCGTCAGATTTCCACCGGCCAAATTGTTTGATTATGTCGGCATCAATACCTGCGCTGAACGTAGCACCTCCACTTCGTAGAGAATGAGTTCCATATTTAGCGAGATCTTCCCCGACGGATGCTGCTCCCTCCTTGATTATCTTGGCTATGGAGCTAACCTGTACGACATTGTCGGAATCCAATGAGCATTGCGGTTTGTTTCAGGGCAGCCGTATATTTTTGTGAGGTAAGGATAAATACCACAGTCCATGAATCGGACAAATCCAAGGTCTTCCAGACCTTCCGATGGCTCTGGTGTTTCCTTGCCGAAACTGATCCGTTTTGTCACCGCGAAATCGAATCACTGCAAACTGAATTTCTCCGAAGCTTGTTGCTTGAGTTCCGTCTACCTGGAAGGATCTGACTTCTGCTGCATTAAGAGCGAACTGGTGCACCTTGTTTCCTAGGGCAAGATATTCCGATCTCCGGAGAAGAAGGAACCAGCCCAGGACGGCAGCCCGCCAAATGACGCTGCTGTGCTGGTTGGTGACGTTGAGACTGCCGTGAATTTTTTGCAAAATGACGACTGTGACGGGTGCTCTTTTGGTTGAAGCTCCTTCTTTTCGTCGCGTTCCTGTGGTTGCGAGACGATGACCGGGGAGCAACCCAACAGAGTAGACGACGACGCACTTATGATACCATGACAGATGACCGCTCTTGGCGAGGACGGTAGAAGTTGAATTTCCGGGTGATTCATTGATCCACCTGTTTTTCCAGTAGTAGACGGCGAATAAACTGAGTTGGTACGAGTGTCGTGTTGGTTCGGGTGGTAGCCCCACTGCGTATTGTAGTTTTTCACACCACTGCTGCCATTGCCGCCATATACTGGAATACTTGATGTGCGAGCTTTGGGCCAGTGATTGGGATTGAAGGTCGTCGAGAAGTTCTGATAGATGCGCCTCAAGCTCGCTGGAACTGTTATCTGTGACCATGAAGCAGAAAAATTAGTCCATGTTTTTGCAAACGGAGAAACCCATGCCCGGGACGCAGCGTCTGCAGCAATATTGGATGAGCCAGGAAGATGCGAAGCGTGTGCACGAATGTTGAACATTGCCTCGGCAAGTCCAATGGATCTCGCAAGTTCTTGACTAAAATGATTCGATGCGTTCAGCGTGTTAGTCCACAACACCGCCGACGTATTATCACTCCAACACTTCACGAATATGGTCTGTTGGCGACTGTCTACGCACCATGTTGGTCCCCAAATCCAAATAGCGAGAGCCACGCAGAAGTATTCTCGGACATTAATTGAAAATTGATTGTCGTGTTCAGTCGAATTGTCAATCCATTGTACCTCATCCGAATCAAATTGTACTTGTATGTACTCGTTTTTAGTTGGATTGAGAACGGCTAGACCTAAGTTGGATGCGTCCATGTAGAGATGAATGTCAGGAGCAGGACAGCGACTACCAAATAAAGAGAGTGGTAACTCACTGAGGCGACCGTCCTCTAGAATACGAGAAAACCACTTCACGTCTACTTGAGCTCCGCGTGAGAGCTCTATTCGACCAAACTTGGGGCGGTATTGCACAGGAGTTGAAGCCGTGGGTAAAATGGACGGGCTGATTGAAGGCATGAACAAGCATGTCTTAAACTTCCCAAAAGTTTCATCAACTCCGTTTTCGTAGCATCTCCCCGGTCCGTTAATGCTAAGGCGCGATTGAGAGCTTCTTGTACTTTGAGTTTGGGCATGGATACCGTACGTGACACCGTATTCCAAATGAGCCCTAGCGCTGAAATTCTTGTCTCTCACTATGAGAACTTTTTGTTGTTGATAGCTCGAGGACCTAGAATCGCCAACATGGCATGCCGTAAAGCGGCTTCAGCTAAAGCTAGTCGATTGTTGATATCGTGCTCAATTAAAATGTGATCGTCCACCCACTCAAAACCGAAGAAAGGTTCGACATCTTCACTGTTTGACACTGATGCCGGTGAATTGATCTGAAGTAACCAAGTAATGGCCGGACCGAAAACTCCATAGAATGATGGCGAACCGGTCCAACCAAACGGGGCAGATAAGTCGACCACTAGTGCTTTTACTTCTGGTGTGCGAGCTGCCATCCAATGTACTAGTGGATGACAGCTCGTACACCAGAAGTGAAAGCATTAGTGGTCGACCAATTAAGTGGCGGTAAGCAGACTTTACATCACCTTTGGGGATGTGAATGTCAAGTGCTGGATGGCGATGATATAGGTCCTCTATGCGATCAGCAATGGTCGCGATATACAGATAATGAATTTCCGGAGCACACGACTTGTCGAAACACGTGAATAAGGCAAATTTCGATTGCTGGATCCACGTCTTTCTTTACCACGGCATCCAAAGGTCTGCAAACAATGTTTTTCCAGTGAGTCAACATAGTATCGGCGACTACCCTGTAGTGATTATTGTCTTGACATTCCCGAATGCTACGGATAACTGACCGCAGACGGAGTTGACATGACTGATAATTCTTGGGTGCTCGTTGAGTTGGCGGAGGGCGCAACCATTTTGATTGGATCCCGTTTTCCATTATCGAAATCACTAGATAACAATGTTCGTAGCCTCGAAGCAGTTGTCGGACATCGCTAATTCTAAACGTCTTGTTTGGTCTGGGGTCGGCAAGCGTTTCTCCACGTACAAGCTTGGCCATACTGGCTTCGTCGAGATTGTTTTCTACGGCGATTCTTGATAACGCGGCTTGTGCTACTAAATCGTGTTCTTCGCGATTGGAACTCGTCGGAAACCCAGCGTACGTAAACGACGACTTGTTGCGACCTCCGCTCGCAACAAGTCTTCTTCGAGATACTGACGAATGATTTTGCTGGAGGTGATGGCTAGCGGTGGTGGCCAAACTGACTCAGTTGAAATGGTAGCCTTGAGATAGTTGCTTGGTTGCCCATCCCTCGTTGAAGTCAGAGAGCGTACCGGTTGTTTATCCGGCAGAGGATCGATGTATTGCCACCGGTGTTTGAATTTACGTCCTTTCGTTGATGTCGATTGGCGGACCTGCGTGCGTACGGCTGGACGCAGCTGGCGCTTGATACTACCATCGACGTGGGCAGACAAAGCCTGCGTTGCGGCCGGTTGTGGTATTGGAGACGTATTGATGTAACGCCTTTTCCCATTTGTTGACTGCGCAATGGTGTGGTTCTGAAAGGAGTCGTTCTGACGACAACGAGAACTGAATGTCACCTCATTGGGCTGCAGTTCCTTCAATGACGATGCCCGGACGTCATCGAAACATCTTCATAGAGATAGATATTCAGGCGTTAGGCCTCCAAAACGTCTTCGAATCAAAATTTTTACCTTTGTATGAAGCGACTCTCGTTTGAAGTGAGCCCGACCTGAGTAGCATGGGGAATCTTTCGTCACCTTGCACCCGCGTACTGATAAGAATCGGATACAGAGTTTCTTGCCGTTCTGGCTAGGTATTAGGACGTCGATGTCTTTGGTGATCGCGGTTGAGCTGATCGTAACCTCACGTCCTGAAGCATGTGTTGATTTCGAAGCCCGAGATGTGTCGTTTTTGACGGGCTTCATTTGTACTTTGACACGTATTTCTCGTTCATTTGCCGATTGGACGAGATGCTGAAGATCGACGTTGGTTGTGTCAAACCTCCAAGCAAATCGTCGGGAATGAGTGCACGAGATTCCACTGCCGCGCGATACGTTTCCAACATGGAATTAATTCAGAAAACCAGGAAGGGAATGTCCTCTACGTCCCAATGATAAATAGATCCTGCCAAACGCTGAACTAATGTGGCCAATGGAAGAATGGTGGACTGTAGGTCACCCGAAAACTTTTCTCTGGCGTAAATGGATAATGTTTGACATACTGGTACAGCGTCTTGAATATCTGCAGCGCGTGGTGCTTTCGGTGCACCTGTGGTGGAAGGCGGAGCTTGGATATTGGCTCCTCCTTCCTCCTGCCAAAGCATTCGTGTCATATCGTCAGCAGGTAATAGATGCACGATTGACAAACCACAATTACCAAACTGCACGTCGTATATCCGCACCAACACCCCGGGTAGGTGCAAAAATGGAACAAATCGAGAAGTGATGAGACCTTCCAGAGATTCAGACGCATTCTTACCTTGGTGGTGGAGAGCTGTGATGAATGGTGGGCGTACTGCTGGGATGCACTCGGTACGAATGTGACGCAACTTGTTTGTGGAATTTCGCGAAACGAATCAAAGTGTCCGCCGTGATTATTCAGCCTCGTGAAAGTTGTCCGAGGTGCTGTAGCATCGGTTCCGCAGCGGTTGGCTGCGACGCAGTGTTGAGGTATCGCTCACCAATCCTTCTCTGCAGATCGGGTCGATACGATATGGCAGCCAATATTTCTTCGTTCGTGTTGCTGTCTCTAACTGTAACCGCGAAGTGCCCAACAGCCGGTTGTTGCGAGTCACGACGAATCGATATGGTGGCAGACATTTCAGCTTCCGAGTTTCTGCTATCTGACCGGTGCTAAGAGGCGTGCACGTTTGCGCGCGGAAGGCACCACTTGATTCTGATCGATGGAACGGTGTGCTGGTTGGGCGCTGATAGTTGTAGTGTCGGGTTCGTCCTAAATTTATCATCGTCGTTGTGAGGATCGAATAGTCGTTCGACGTTATTACCACTTGCTGCCTGTGCGCTTTCTGGACGAGTTCTTGTTGATACTGGATTGGGGTCCGGCACACAGCAAAATGAGGTTTCCACAGTGCTGGGTACCAGTTCGACACCTCCGTGGATGTGGTGAGTGTAGTCGATTGAGTGTTTAAGCGGAAATTCCACTTGGAGTCCTGATCGGGGATTCATCTAGAGTATAGGAGCATTTTCAGACGAAATTTCGGAGTCGTCAGCGTAGCCGTCAAGAATAACAGCAAGGTTTGTAGAGGCAGATGATCTGCCAACCCCTGTTATGCGAATCCAAATGACCCTAGGCATGTCGAGCATTTCGTCTAAACTCCATTTGGATGCCGAATATGTAAAAGGCTGCAGCAGTAAGTTCACAACTGGCTTAATTATCGTAACCTCATTCGCCGCAATGACAAATTCGCCCATGCCTGTGATCACACGAACCTGCTGACCCTCATATATCATCGCTTGACCGTGCAGAAACTGATTGTTTATCAACGCGAGGATGGGTGCTCGTAGCATGGCAACCCCGCCACAATTTTGAACGTCGCTCTCGTCGACAGCTCATTCGACCGCTTCTTTTGGTGTTATTTTCCACTTGATTCCTGCCGTTGAACCCACACCGGTGACGAAAACAGCCGTACGAGTGCGCCGATGAACCTTGGCGAACGTTGGGGCCTCTAACGGATGCTCCCACTTCTCCGGTAGTAGCAGAACGAATTTGACGGCGCGTAGAGCAGCGATAATGACCATTGTGACGCTTGAAAAAAGGCTTAGTTGTCCGCCTGAGGCTACTCAAATTGGAGAATGCGAACTCGACTCTATCTACGCTAACTATTTTGTCCGAACTGCTTGTGTAAGAACCACTGTCAGTTTTGCAACTCCTTTCTCACCCTCAACCGACAACAACAAACTGCTCGGAGATGAAACTGTACCGCTAGTCGGTGTTTCTGGCTGAGTGTGCGTTCTGGTCGACGATGATGGATGTCTCCTCCTGAAAAGCAATTTTCCCACAAGTCTCCACCGGGAAATTAACCATTTCCCCAAAGGTGAACAAAACAACGCCGACCCGATAATATTGTTGGAGATGCAACAAAGTGTCAAGAGAACACGGCGCACCTTCTCGTAGCGCTATCTCCTAAGAAGGCCAGAACTTCGAAGAAGATAAAATTTGAGTAGGTGCCGTCTACTATGTGGCAGTGTCACAGCCGCACTATTGGTATTGATAGCCCACAATTACTACACATGTTATGGTTATAATACAGTGTCAGATCCCCTCTTCCAATACTTAGCGATAATACTCCGTAGTTCTACCCGTCATAAAAGCATAACACGCTCCCCTAGTTCGAAGACACCCTGGAGAAGTCATGCGACAGGATACTGAAATCAAACAATGTCGCTACAGTGGTGCATGATTGTTGCGCTAGTTACAAGTTGCGCGAATGTCGTTCTTCACCGGTTGGGTCAATATGCACCCTCTTTCGCATAGAATATCAGATATCATCCAGTATCTCGTCAATTAATCGTACTCTTAGTAAGGAAGTAAAATTGATCCCACCTAAACTCTGGATCTAAATATCCAGAGAACAATCATATTGGTGGAATCAATATTTTATGGTTCTGAATGGCCCATAGGAGTATAGCGGCAATATTCGCAATAAGATAGTGGATTGTGAAATTGATCCAATCAATAATTGCAATCAACAATATCCCTCAATACAATACACTTTTCCTTTCCTTGAAGTGTTGGAGTTAAGGACCTTAACACCTTGATAAGGTAGCGCACACACGAAGCCTTCCTTCGAATACATGTAAAAACGATGTCTGCCTTTTCAAATTTCATTCCAATGCCTGGTTTCAAGCTCCAATCCTGCCTCTAGCCCATAAATCGGAGAGGCATTCGGTCTGCAAATTACCAAATCGCAACCGATTTTGGCTTGTTTCGACTTCAAATCCTTATCTGCCTCTGCCCCCTCCTCAATTTTTTTAGACTCTCAGATATGTACTGGTAAGAAGCAATCAGAGTCGAACATTGAATGACCGACATGTAAGTACATACACGTCAGCAAGAATGTAAGATACAAACCCGACATTACGCGCCTTGTCACTAAATATAAATAGAGCTGGTTACGACACGACTAAGCTTCCACCATGGCTATGTGAATTACAAGTGACTTATGGACGATGAGCCATTTCGATAACATGAAAACACACGATACAAGGATCAAACGGTATGCAAGTCCGCAAATAATGCTTACTTCGATAATAAACAGCTCTGATTTCTGTTTCCTACCGTATTTAGACAAGATGGCTTATCCTGGCTGGATAAACCACACTTTTTATTTCTCATTTGATCTGGAAATGGTGTATGAAATTCATACACCATTTCCAGATCAAAATGAGAAATTCTCGGTTCAAAATGATTAATTCTCAGATCAAAACGAGATGACCTGTAAGCAGTTATATGTTCAACAACTAATTTCCTGTTAGATCTAATCACGAGCCAACCGTCATGTCCCCTAAGCACGCGCGTGAAATCTGAGTGTGGGAGCTGCCATGGAATCGCAAAGGTCTGGGGTGACTTTGGTTGACATGCTGTGCTAGACGGCGCGCATCATGTAGTTTGTACAATGCTCAGCTTTCGTCAGACCTAGTGGGGAGCGCTTGTACTTCATCGCTAAACGATAAGTGATCGGTCCAGGCTGGCCATTGGAGGTTGCGTGAGTTCTTTGCCTTCAACACTTCTGGAATTATATACCCCATGAAATTTGATTTTGATTTGTAAATCATATTTGACAAGTGTTTTGTTTTGATCTGACCATTTCTTGTTTTGAACCGAGGATTTCTCATTTTGATCTGAAGAAAGGTGTACTTGAAGTTTCGGGCAAACCCAATTACCGGAAACAGCAAAATAAATCGATATGCTAAAAGGGAGTGCCCGGTTTCACTATGTCAGTATAAGTACGTGCTATGGAAAATCGTTGTTGTATTTCCCCCGACCGTAGACATAAACCTGTTATAAAAGGCACTCGGCAGCTCTCATAAACCACAGAGTGCACGGACTATTCTTTTGATGTTAACTAATCGACCACGACAATGATCATGACCAGATAACATGTCACATATATACGTTGTGATGGCGATTTGACTATAACTCACATATCAACTTGCTCAGTCAGCTGGAGCGACGAAAGCTACAGCGTGGGAAACGTCTTCATTAAGTACTACTTAACTTAATAAGTGGTAGGCACGCTGCGATGCGGACGGAACGTGCTCTATGAGATATATCCCTTGTCGACATGATAATGGGTATTTTTTCTTAGCTTTTATAATAACAAAAACCGGTACTTACACTAGGGCTGAGGCGGAGGAGCATCGGGACACGAAAGCGTTATTGGCAAGTGTTGCTCTTGGTTTTTAACTATTTCAATCTGTTTCTAGATAATATACATGTGGTCCACTCTAATAAACTGTGGTGGTCAATGAATACAAGTTTCAAGACAACAATCGAAGAATAACGAATTATTCCCCTGCAAGCTGCTCTGCAGCACTTCGTATTGCTATCCCAGGACAACACAAATCAATATGTTTTGCTCGTCGCGAGATGGTGCGTGTAGAGTAGGAACTGAATAGGAGGTCTTCCCTCCCGATGGAATTAAGGCCCTCGTAGTAAATGGGATTACGGATAGGATGGACGACAACTTCACTCATCCCAGCTAGCCGGTGTTTAGATCCTTGGGAGTATCGGATTCAGCTGTAATACATGTGTGCGTGAAGTCAAAGTGTGGACCAGGCCAGCCACTCCATTTCTAGAAAAACGCCAAGGCAGGGAACTGAAGCCATCTCGTCATGGGTACTTCCAAAACTACGCTGGTTGTAGCTATCTATCTCGTAGCTGTGGTTTGCTCGACAGTGTTAAACGATGACATGTCCAACGATGCTAACCCTACTGCGGCGTACTTAAGACCCGACAACACCGCTGATGAAGACCAGAACAACGAGGAGAGGGGGGTTAATTTAAACCCACTATCTGGTTTAACGAAGCTCACAGCGAACATCAACTCCGTTGTGGACACAGCACGACTACAAATTTGGCTCCAATTACGAACATCGGCCGATGACGTGTTTCGAAAGATGAAGCTTAACTCGGTGAAAGGCAATTTATTGACAGACCCCAAGTTCTTAGGTTGGGTAAAATATGTCGACGATTTGAACCAGAAGAAGCCCGAAGCAGAACGTATATCTGCGGCTGCGGTGCTGACCTTTCACTACATGGACGACCAGCTTTCGACAATGCTTAATGCTGCCATGAAGAATCACAAGACGAAAGACCTCGCGCTTACACTGCAGGCTCAACGCCTGGAGGACTGGAGACGTCGTAACACTCACCCAGTTGACGTCCTCGATCTACTCAGCTTGGAGAAGAACAGCATTCTCGTAAATCCGGTACTAACTTCTTGGTTCAAGTATCTGGACGAATTTAATATACGACATCCCAGGCAACACGTAACCCGGGCGAGCGCATTATCGGACGGCCTTGGCGATTCTAGATTTGCAAAAGTACTCGAAGAAGGTCTAAAAGCCGACAAAACGAAGGCTATTTCGAAAGAAATGGAGAGAGAGCTGTTTGCAGAATGGGGAACGAAGAAATTTACTCCCGATTTCATATTTGGTGTGGTGGGGCTTAAAAATGTTATCGGATATGCAACAGGGCCGATTCTTTCGGATCCAGTTTTCAAGTTCTGGGTCAGGTATATGAACGAGTTCAACGTCAAAAATCCCACGAAGAGAGCGACAATTTTTGGTACGCTTACGAAGAATTACGGTGACGAGGCTCTAGTGGATATGCTCGTTGAAGCAAAGAAGGTTGTGAACACGAGGACGGCTGCTAAAAGCTTGGAGTCACAGCTGTTGCTTAAATGGCTTCATCAGAAGTTGCATCCAGGGGAAGTTGTCCGTTGGATGAACGCAGACAAATCTAATGAAATGCTGGGAACGTACACGAGGTTATTCAGCGCAAGATATCCGAAAACTACCTCGCAATGAATACTTTCACAGCCCGTGATAAGTTTCTTTAGTAAAGTCTAAAGTTTTTTTTTTTATCGATGATCATTTTTTGTTAAACTTACGTATATTCTACCCTGGAGTAAGTTTGGTGAGAGATTGTCGTGGTGATCGCGAGTTACTGCTGATGTTATTGCTGTGAGGTAGTGCACCAGCAATGCGTGAACGCATGATGGAGCCAAAGCGCTTCACCTGGCGATACTTGAGAATGGCTACACCTCCATGTCCTGTTTTCGTCGTGACTGCAGAAGCTTGAAGATAGTTGTGAAGCGTATCCAGTTTATCCTCCAATGACACCAATGGTTGGGGCGTAAAACCGCCACTCTCCTCAGTATGATCTTTCTTCTTGTCAAGTACAGGTGCACCCATTCGTGCGCAAATAAAATTGTGGAGACGTTGAGCTTCATCGCGTTCTTTTTGCCAGATAGGTTTTGGACGATCAACTACAATAGACAACCGCTTGAATCGTGGACTGGATATTGTGGGCGACGTGAGTGTTGACCCCAAAATGGTTGACGTTCGTCTATCTCTCTTGCTCGCTTCCAGTTGTACACACCAATCATGTGCATGTTCGAGATGAATCCATTTACGAGCAGGAAAGACACAAATCATTGCACTTTTAAAAGAGTTCGAAGGCTTGAGATTCATCGCATACGTCACAGCCTCCGTTTCAGACGACAAAAGTGTATGTACAGCAATGAACGGCTCCGGATATGGCGAGTTGGCGACTTCAAGTTGAGAAAGCACAACGCTACATACAGCGAAAGCATTTCGCACTGAATGGAGCGTTTGTTTCGGAGACAAGTGGGGCTGGGTATCAAGTTCGACAGCGGTTCCTGGTATTGATACTTCAGCTTCATCGCTGTCTGCTACACTCCTGGTTTGAGAAACCATAACTTCCTGGAATGCCGCCATATTTGACCCCACAGCTTTGGACTGCAACGAACCCGACGATACATCATGATATAGTGCTCTCGTCTTTGGACTCTGGTTGTTATTTGCGCTTGTGTCTCCGATTTGATGCATTTGGGGTCGATCCTGGTCAAGTTTTGAGTGACCGGTACAAGGTATTGTCGCGAATCTATTGAGTGGCAACGCGTAGTATTTAACGCTGGATACTCCGAAACTTTCCTGTTGTCGCTCGGTTACTTCGCGAATCATATTGAGAGACCGAGCAGATTGAAGAATCTGGAAAACTGGTGATTTCTTAAATGTATCCTCCGATCTCTCTTCAGTGTCTTCGTTTTGAATGGCAAACAGCACGTAGTCCACCTCGTTGGAACTTTGACATACTGCATCGGGTCGTGGCGACATGGCGGGTAGTTCACGCACTGGACTTTTTGCCTTCGACTGCAGGAGTCTTGATCTCCGAGCATTGTGGCCTTGAGGTTTACGTTCTGCTGGACGAGAGAAAATAAAATTTTCTTGTAAAAGATGACTGAGCGCTTGAGGAGTAATTTTCAGACTTCGACTGGTAGGCCTCATTACAGAAGGGTGAGGTAATGACTCTGACGAGTTGTCGGTAGCACCTGGCAGTACTGCGGTAGTATCATTACTGTTGATTTCTTCCTGCTCACTGTCCGTAGTTTTCATATCGTCCCAGGATCCGTTCGGTTTGTCAACAACTTTGATGTCGAAAAATGCCAGTGGATTTCCCTCTTTTAACACTTCATCCTGGCGACGCCCTTCAGCAGCCAGAACGCTATCCAACTGGCGCTGTCGAGCAACACTGGGAGGCGCATCTATGTTAAATGACGTCACATAGCTACCAAGAGTCTGGTCTTGGGGGAACACCTTCTTCATCGCCTTCGCCTCTGGTGTCAGTAATAACAGCTCATTTGCTGGAACCAACGCATGTCGTGCTGTGTTCGAAAAAGTGCTACTTGACTGCGCAGACTCGTTCGTGTCGTCTCTGCGGCTAGTTGAAGCAGCAGCCAATGCAGGTAGCTTGACATCTCCACTGGAATCTGTCGATTTAGAGGTTTTATTCGTTGTTTTTGCAAGAATCCCGAAATTTGAGACTCTTTTTGTAGCATACCTTTTGGATACAGGGAGAATCTTTTCGATGCGTTCATGGTTGACGTGCTCTCGCAGCACCTTCTTCTTATAGTTTTCCCACTTTTGTGTCTTGTGGAATCGATCCAAGTACACGATACTCTCCGCGTGAGAGTGTGCTGCAGCTCGTAGAGTTTCTCGAGCTGAACGGGATAATCGATGGAACACATCGTATTTCGAGAGTAATAAGACTTCAACTGGAGTACTTGCACTCACAGTCACTTCGCGATGTATCACTTCGTTGAAATTCACCCCAGCAGCTCTACAATAGCACACAAAGCAGTTTAGTACACAGATGGCTACATTATCAGAAGATGGCTACATACGCTTCATCACCAACCACACGGAAGCGACCGATGCGTTCCACGAAAACCTCGTGCTTTACTTGTGTAAAAGGGTCCGTGATCTCCTTGGTGACGACCAGCTCTCCACGTACAACAAAATACACGTGTGTCGCTCGATCCCCCTGTTTGTATAGCACACTACCGGTGGACAGTTTCTGCTCCAGTAACACGTACGAAAGCTCTTTCAGCAGCTCTCCTGTCCACTCTGGCGTCTGAAACATCGGAATCTGATCTAGAACACCCACACGTTTAGCCATATCTTTCTTCTGCATTCTCCGTAGAGTCGAATTGTAGTCTTTTTCACAAATTACCAAAAGTTGGCACTCTTCACGTGTTATCACCGTAGCACTGCGTACACCTCTGCCTTTCATCAGCGCTAACTCACCAAAGTGAGACCCTTCTGCAAGGTTAATAAGCTTAGTCATCTGCATGTTCCCCTTAAAGTCCTTCGAGTTGATATTCACATCCACCGAACCACTAAAAATGATGTAAAATAAATCTCCAACTTCGCCCTCACGGAACACACAGGCACCAGCAGGTAGAGTAAGGAAATCCACTACCACACACAGCTCGCGAACGAAAGATTTCGGTAAACTTCGGAAGAATTTCAGCATCTGAAGATACTCACTGAGCATGTCGATGTCGGCCTTAGTACGTGCATGTTTCTTTTTAGTTAATACTTTAATATATTCCCGTTGTGTACGCTGTGCCGGACGCTGCATGCCGATCCCGTTAGCGATCTGCATACGTGACAGGAACTCGAGTTGGTCGTTTTTAAGCATCAAGTTGTAGTCATTCCGCGTGATTTTTACCAACTCCGTGGCAGTTTTGGCCAATACAGTTGCCGCACGGACGTCGTTGTTAAGTAGTGAGCGTTCACCAAAGTAATCGCCTTTGCCCAGTTCACACACCGTGACTTCCACTACTTCACCGAGGATACGTTGACTGACACGGACCTCAACTGTACCACTGAAGACGATAAAGAGTGCATCGCCTTCATCTCCTTGTCGAAAAACGGTCTCGTCCGGATGGAAAGTTACACAGGTCATACGCCGGCATAAGAGATCAAGTTCTGAAGGTTGTAGCCGCTCGAAGTCGGTCGTGATTTTGAGCTTCGTGGTCTGGAACCAGACACCAAGAGACTGCAGATCCAACTGGGAACGCTGTTCGCAGTCTTGGGCCAGCGCTCGACGACAAGATTCTTCTAGAATGAGTGTGCGACCGTAAAGTTGATGACCCTTAGCCGTGTCGTCCAAGTCGAAGCCCGAATGCACTCCATTAAGATCTTCTACAATGTCATCGTCCACTTCTTCCTCCTTAGTTTCTCCACTGTCCAGTAGTGCCCCTTCTTCACGCAATTCATTCTGTTTCTTACGCAACGAAGATAACTTAATCCAGTGCGCCATCACACTCGATTGTTCCGTCGGTACAGCTGCCGCTCGGGTGAGCTGCTTGGCAGCGAGTGCTTGTTGCACTAAATTCTTCATTTCGCGACTTTTTAGCATCTGCGCGAGTGAAATACGCTTGTCAGTGGGATTTCCAGAGGTATTACCACCGAGCCCGAGTCCAATTTCAGGAATTTCACTTGGTTTTGGGACTTTACGGGCTACGCTCATGACGGCAGTCCACGGGTCCTTCTTCTCCGCGGGTCGAGTTGGCTGCATGGCTACACTTTCTTTGCCGCTCTTGAGTTTGTGCATGGTCATAATCGAGTGGGCTGCTCGACTGAAACCCTTGAGTTTATTACCTTGCGGTTCATTTGTTTTTACTCCGTTTAAACTCGTAGTGACAGCGTCACGGACTTCGGACTCATCTGTAGATTCCACAACATCAGTCTTCGCTGCTTTCGCTCTCAAAGCCACCTTCACGACCGAGATCCGACCACGGGCAGCTCGTCCTCTTCCCTTCCCTCGTCCTTTACTAGGCGTCGATGGAGTCATGACACGCGCGATATTGTACAAGACAAAAACAGCTTCAACTTCTAAATATGGCTACCGGGGAGTATGGCTACATCAATTATAAAGCCATATTAACAAACCCCCTTCCAAATTGAATACAGTTTTCAACCAATCAAACGTTGAGAATCTACAATTCCTCTGGACCCATCCAACCTTCATGACGTCCACCCCGTTAGAGGACTCCGCGCCTCCCCGCGCCACTACAGAAGCCCAGAAGACGCCTCAAGACGCAATGGAGAACGCGGCAACACCCGCTAATACCACCACCCAATCCAAACTACGCACCAGCCACCGCGCAGCCGCCGCTGCAGCCAACGCGTTCATGGCTGCACAAGTGCAAGAAGAGGCGGCTCCATTGGGCGTCGTCATGGCTAAAGGTTTTGGCTCCAAGCCTGCGAAAGCGCAACCCAGCAATCCTCCAGCTCAGCAGCAGCCGGGCAACCTGGGCATGTTACTGTGTGCGGCAATAGGAGACGAAGACACGAAGAAACGAGCCACCGAGGCGCTCCCTCCAGCCCCCAAACGAGCCAAAGTAGCGAGCAAGTCAATGCCACAGAGCGCAGAGCATCGAGGCAAGAAGCGTCGACAAGCGTCTGTATACGAAGCTCCTATGGAGGCGTCGCCCATTATCACAGACCTGCCTCCACTGCCTTTTACAACCCCTGATGCCAAGAAGAAGTGTAAACTTAAAAAGGTAGCACCTCTCAAAGACAACGAGAGCGAGGACACTCGCCACTGCGAGTTCTGCAGGAAAGTAGCCAACATCTGCGTGCTGCTGCACTGCCACGCGTGTCGTCGCGTGTACCATTCGGGCTGCTTTTTGCACGCTTTTAAGTCGTTAGTGGACCCCAAAATCCCCATTTTTGACCAAATGGAGCGTCTGCAACTGGAAGCACCAGAACGCAGAGGCAATATCTTCCGCTGTGCGTCATGTAAAGCGGCCTTCTTGGACTTCTACGAGAGCGATGGTTATCTCTGGAACTGCGACTGTCCCACGTGTTTGCAACCGGAAAAGAAGATTTATTATCGCCAGAGGAAATTGGTGCAAATGATGAACGAGATGGAGCTCGAGAAGCAACGGAAAAAGGAGAAAAAAGGCCAAAAAAGTGGAGCTAAGACGCCGACACCTCCTAGTCGGTCGAACTCGGTATCACGCAGTAGACGGACTAGAGGCAGCGCTACACCTAACGATACGGTTGTTACCGCTCATGCTGAGACTAAGGTTGTGAAGGAGAGTAAAGCTGAGCCGATGGATGTGGACAGTGGACTACAGACTGCAGATTCTAAGAAAGAAGAACAGATGGAGAGTGATGAAAAGATCAAGACACAGAACGCGGAAGAGCTTGATCAAGAGGTTACAGAACAGTTGAAAGTTAAGTACGAATCTGGGACGCCACCACTGGATCTATCTGGAGATGAGCTTGTCAATGCTGTGCGAATTGTTCACGACGAAAAGAGTGGAGGGTGGACGTTTCCTGTTATGTGTTCTCGAACGTCAAGTCTTCATGTGTCAGGGATCATGAAAACGGGCAGTTGCAAGTGGTCTTTGAAAAAGATGGGCTTCATCCAGTGCGATTGTTGCGCTAAAATATTCAAATTCTCCGAGTTTGTGCACCACACGGATAGCGCCTTAGTGAAAGACGCCAAGTGCGCAGCGGAAGATCCGATGCCATTTTTGTTCGTCGAGCATCGCGACAACACGCAGCACTCCTCACTGGATGATTTCCTACCAGCTTTAAGGAGTTGGGTGGGGCGACAGAGTGCGAATAACACGCCGACTAAGTCGCGAAAGAGCCGCAATTTGAAGCCTGAACCGGTTGAAACACCGACGATACCGGAGCCAGAGGTGGACGCATCCATGTCCAGACTGCGTACACTGGCACTGTTTAAACGTCCAAAGCACCGGAAGGACAACGTTCCTTTCGACTTTGTGGCTCAAATCGTGTGTCTGTCGCCCAAGTACGTGATGAATATGGCCAATGGAAGTCTGGCTGACCGCGTTGTGCGCTCTAAAACGGCAGCACCTGGCGACTCATTCCCTCGCAAAGCTGGCTGGTTGGCCTTCAGCCGCACAGCAACTCAGGACCGCAAGGTTTTGTGCGTTTGCTGCGAGAATAAATTTATTATTGACGACTTTGTGGCGCATGCTGGCATCTCGCAGACGGAGTTGACGAAAAAGCCCCGACTGCTCTTGTATGTCGTGGAACGAGAGGACGAGTCGGCATTGATGCCGTACAGGACGTTTGCTAAAGATCTGGAGGCTGCAGCCACGAATAACGTGCTGGATGCGCTGCTGAGTGGGCTGCATTTGCCACCTCCGTCTCCTCGACCTCTTGAGCTCTGAGAGAAATAGACAATGGGAGTGCGTTTAGTGATTGCTTGGCCATTACTGTAGGACTATGACTATGGATGGTCTCGAAAGAGCTAGTTGAGATTTCTAATCTGCTTGAAAGGTGATGCATGTCATTAGCAGTAATTGAAGTGCTTTTATTTCAATAGCGAACGTATTGCGGAATTTTCAGGACGGATGTTGGCTTTTTCAGGATGATAAATATAGAAAGGTTAAATATTAAGTTTAGAGGTGATTGGAGCACTGTGCAGGCTTTAAAGTTTAAAGTTTAGACGCTTATCTGCAATTGAACTTCCATTCATGGCTTAGAATACAGAAAAGCGACACCGGCGATACTCTACGTGGTTCATACAGTAGCTATTGTTAGAAAGAAGGTGGAACCATACTAATAAATGTAGAAGTGCGCAGGCAACTCCACCAAAAAGCCGTTCTCTGTAGTGGAAAGATCGATTGCTGTTGCTACTCGCTCTATCGTCCCAGTTGCGAGCGTCTTTTCTGATATCGGTGAGATTCGTACATTGCGGATCCAACGCAACGGAAGGGTGTACCAATGACTCAAAGGAAGATAAACTGGATGCCAGAGGTCAAACATATTCCAGCTCTGACGAGATGTGAATCTCTCACTAGATACGTTGGTCACACTCTGAAGTCCGCGGCATTCAGATACTAATTAGTGTAAACAAATAGTAAAAGTTCCTATAAGTAATGGAAATCAAGGGCTCGCCTGGTACACCTGTGTTAATATCTCAAGGTTTATCGCTTTCGGACGATATGTACACAGTAACACCGCCATTTTACTCATGTGTTCGCTTTCTCGGTTTGGATCGTCGCCCACACGTAGTAAAGCAATATTCATATCCTACAGGTGTTTGATTGGATCGCCAAATGATTGTCATGACGCTGCAGGGTACAGCTTAATCCTTAGCGTCGAAAAGAAACTTTCTTAGTGGACTGTTAAAAGGACAACATTCGGGCTCTTTTCGCCGTAGCTAGTACGTAGCTGACTCATAAAAGATGTTGGAGTGGACGTGATGCTATCAGATAGGTCAACGCACTGTGCATCAAGAATTGGATGAGCCATCCATTTTGCTAACAGCACGGGTAATGCACCAAATTGAGCAAATTATTTCCCGAGACGAGGGTTTAGTGGCGCTTCGATAGGTTCATGTCGGGTTACTTCTTTTATCTTCTGCATTTATATTTTGAAATCATACTCACACGATAAGATTCTTACATCTCCTACCTCCACTTAAGAAGTTTCCATTTTTAAATGTATCCACTAACGATTCCGCCAGTGACGCTCAGAATTCAGTTATTTTTTGCGTCCAGATATTTTATTTTTCATTGTACGTTGCAAACCCATCAACCGATATCAGGATACGTGTACTTCCGTCTTTGAAAAGGCACAAAATTAGACAGGTTCGTGCGTACTTGGCGATTGACCCGCCTTGAATTCCATCCTGACAATTCCGCACTATGTTCGACCCCAGCCCAATCATCTAGAAAGTTGCATGAAACGTAGAGAGTCGCTTGCTGGAATTTACAGGATGTCCATCCTGAAAGAAGCGTTATAATGGCCACTCCTATCCCCCCCTCCGATAATTACAGTTAAATCCTCACGAATAAATTTTTCCAAAAACAAGTTGCTTTAGTCGGCTAGTCACCTCTTGTCAAGCTTTGTGGTCCGTGTCGCCGGGTGATCGATTGCAGAAGTCACGTCGTAATATATGTTTTTAATGTAACATGATTTTGGCTGTAAGGCATCATCTAGCGTACACCCCGGTCAGTATGAGAAATCATGATTAGTTCTCTCTGCCAACCCTCCATAATGCCGCGATGTACACGACGAAGCTCTGGGTGCCTATAGTTAGCGAAAACTCGCTTTTAAGTTCAATGTCTTTTTGTTTTGAAATATTCTAGGGCCGCTTGCTGCTGTGCGTCCATTCTTATAGTAACGCGTCCTTAATAGGTCATTGAAGCTTCACCAGTGGTGCTTGCCATTTCACTCCCACATATGTACTTCCTCCGAGCCCTTGAAACCTGCGTCTCCTCCTATCGCACCATGACATCGTGCAGTCATACTGCTTGAAGTTGAAAGAACGTTGTTGCGTTTAATGACGACTCCAAATCTCAAACAAAATGCAGGGCTGGTAATAAGGTGTTCCATTTATGCAAATAGAACATTCCGATCAATGGCAAGTTCCGAGAAATTACAATCAAGTACTGGTACTCTTTTATACAGCAAATACTGAAGTCCTAAAAGTCTTGATATAAATAGTCAGACAATTTCGACAGTGTTGCACTAGACATTTCCAGGGCGTTTTGAATGTTTCACATTTTCGTTATACACTTTAAATCTGGCAAGGCGGTACAAGCCCGCATTTCGTTTCCTACTGCAAGGTCACGAATGTATTCCTCGAAGACACCTAAAACGATTTTGAGATAGTTCCTCCATGAAAACAATTCGGAAAATCTGCCGCGTCTTGCCATTCTGCAATTCCATACTCCTTGGTTTACCCTTGTTGTTCAGCTAAGACGCACTATTTATTATCTTCTGCCTCAAGAACAGCAGTTGCATCAACTTGTTGGCTCGACAGCCAAATGATTACGCAGTTTGCCCCAAGATGATTACATTGCAATAGAGTTTCAGTGAAGCTGTGGTTGTTACTGAATACATATAGGTTCTGGTTCTTTATATACAGAGTGAGTTTGACGAATGCGCACCATGTCCGCTCCAAATAGATTAACAGGTAGCTCCCACCATACAATCACACTTAAAAAAAAAAACTAGCTCAGACACACAACAATCTCGAGGGCCCAACCAACAATGCGATTCTTCTACACTGGAGTACTGGCTATCGTTTTCATGGTGTATACCGTCTGCGTTTCTACGGCAACTCACTTGCCATCTACATCCAACACTCGGAGTACCTTAACGCTGTCAGTTAGGTCGTTGAGAACTATCGCGAAGAAAGGGGCGTCGCTGGAACGGTATCCAGTCTGGTTAAATCGAGTGCGTCCAAAGTCATCGAATCCGCGGCTTTGAAAGCTTATTTGGCCGCGAACAAAGATGGGATATATGTTCTGAACAAGCTGAAACTCGGTAACGACGTCCTGGAAGTTTTGGAAAGCCCCAAGCTGAGTAAGTTATCCAAGTACATTTCAGCTTACAATTTGAAGCACCCGGACGAACAAATCTCGTTAGTTGGAGTTCTCTCGACTCGCTACGGAGACGATGCTGTGGCAAAAGCCCTCGTAACTGCAAAGGGGCGCACCAACACGGCTGAATTGGCGGCGAGTTTACAAAGACAGCAGTTGAACGGTTGGCTGGACAACCAGAAGTCCATTGAATATGTCATGGGAAAACTGAAGATTGGTGACGACTGGACCCTAACTATGTCGAGTCGGAGCTTGGACGCGTTGGACAAATATATCAGGCTGTTCAACGTTCGATACCCACTAGCTAAAACCGATATCACGACGGAACTTGCGAAACGCTTCGGTGGCGAAGCCAAATTCTCCCGTTTGGTTGCAATTGCTTTGCAAAGGCCACAGTCACGACGAATGTACGCCAATGCTGAAAAAATCCAAAACGCTCTGTTTAAGCAATGGAAGGATCGCGGTTTAGATCCCATGAGTGTTCTTGTTCAAGTATTTAAGGTGGACGAGAAAGATGTGGCTTCTGCCGGTTCTGCGTTGAAGAATGTTGTCGAGCGTTACAAGAGAGAGGTCTATCGTGGCCCCGTCGAAGGTAGTTTTGTAACTCCTCGTCGTTCGTAGTTGGTACGAAAACTATCAAAATGAAGGTCGTTTCCACAGGAAAAAAGACCTGGTACGAGGATTAAAACATACTCAGGCTAAAAAAAAGGAAATGGTTAATGGAAGATATTGTTGATCAGCATACAAGACCGTCTTCGACTTAGCTGGAAACAGACTTATTTCACCTAACAAAAACTACTAGAATTAGATATCATAGATTCATTCACGAGCGCAATTGGATGTACTTGGTACAGCAAACGTATCTGTTAGTAGAACCCTTGATTCTGCGGGCTCCATCAAGATACTAGCGGACCACTGGAAAACAACATGTTTTGGTACAATGGAAACAAGCTATAAAAAAGAGAGAGGAAAAACGGGTCCAAATAGCCACACTCTTTGAAAACCGACAGTCCAACACTTTTTGACATGCAGCACAAGTCCCAAACTTCAATCGAGGCGCCAACCTCTGGTGGTACTACAACGAATTAAATTGCAGGAAGCATTACAAGCCTATTTGGTCGGGCATAATATAATTTTTTCCTGATATTTTGTCAAATGCATACGTAAAATCTGTACTGTGGAACATTTAGCAAGCTCTCGTAGGTTGTTCACGGGCCGAATCTGCTCAAAATGAAGCGGCCAAAAAGGTCAAATCGAGTTTTGGAGATGTTAGGTTCCAAAATGCAGTCTCAACGTGCCTCTTCCAATCATTATGCAACTAATAGTGCGGTGATCGTGCGGTAAGTGCAAGTAGACCATGCTTTGAGGTAGCCTTGTATTGATCTCTGATGCTTGCTTCGCAGATTTCAACGGCTTGGGGTGCGATACAATCTGTAAAGCTCAACTGGGTCAAAATGACAGAAAAATATGCAATGATGAATGGATTCCACACAAAAAATCTGCTTGTTTTTCTCTAGTTACTTCGTCTTCCAGATTTTGATAATCTGCGTTTAGGCAACAGTCTATACTGTTTTAATCCAACGATGTTACCAATTGTATAAACAAACCTTTAGAAGCGACAGAATCAAGTCGCTGATATTCACCGTTATTGACATTGCTATCAGCATGTGCGAAGTTACAGCTATGAAGGCAACCCAAATTACCTTCTCTTGGAAGGTAACCATCACCTTAACTGATTTCGCTTTTAAGAAAGTCGCTGGCACTGCACTCACGTGTAAGTGACGAGGCAGCTTAAGGTGAGGCGAATGTCATAGAAGAAGCTTTCATGCGTACCAATCGAGAGACGACTGAAAGCTGCGTGAATTGTACAAACGACATTTGGAACGAACGTAGAGATCATGTGCTATAGGAGTTCATCAGTCCAGCGTTTGATCTCGCTACGCCTTATCCGTTCAAAAGTATTTGTCTGTCCGACAGGAGTCGAGAGTACGGGCCAAGATCTCTTACATGGTGTGCTGTCCGAAGGCCGTAAATGGCAAACAACACGATAGGTTAACCTCATCTAAGTTGTTCAATTTCCTGTACTTGTCTAGTAGAAAAATCTAGGGCCGTTTTAGAACGTACGAGGCTTCGAGACAGAGATCCATTTAGTCATATATTTGGTCCATCCTAATTGTTATCATGTAAGTGCAAAGGCTGTCCTCAGCCGATGTTGTGCCATGCTACCCTAGTATTCTTCTCAGTTGTTTCCAGCAATCGAATCGTGCCACCGGTTGAATTGCTTTAGCTTACCTTGGCAAGCGATTGCGATAGCTTGATCATTCTACGGATTTTTGTGTTCTTTCTTCTTAGCAAAGTGCATGCCTATCAATAGGAAAGCTTTACCGTAGGCATGCACTATATCTGAAGTCTCGATACTCTTGCATAAGAGCTATAACGGCAACTGCAGACGATTTGATTGGCTCTAAGAGCTATTTCCAGCGAATTGATTGCCTGTATGGACACGATTCAGTCGTGGCCTTTCATGTGTAAAGATTGGGGGACCAGAGAAAATCTATTGGTTATGTGGAGCATTTATGGGATTTTGAAACTGCATTTTATTCATTTCCTCTATTTCTGGTCAAAAAATAGTTCTTTTCGTGTTATTATAACTGAAAACTTTCGCAAATGCAGATGGAGTTGCCCCTTCTAGTTTTCGTCCAAACAACAGCTACGAAAGGCGTCGGACCGCTTAGGAGTCCGTCTCCGTTCTCTATTAGTGCTGATAACAGCTAAAAAGAATAAAAACAAAATAAAACTATACCAATAGTTATTTATTATTATTCTGTCTACACGTAGTCAATAATTAATTAACAGAGAATGACTGATTTACCCTTACCGAATTTTATGACAGGGTCAGAAGCAAAGTTTGTCAATAGTGCTCGAAAGTACACGAATCTATGTATTAAGCATGCCTGGCCCATACCACTTAAAGTGGTAGTGGCCTTGTTTTTTTAATTCGCTCTTTAGGACAGCCTAATGTCGCTCCAACGTTGGTATTGAAGTGATCGAGAGTGCTGTTGGCTTCACCTTTTCAAAAGCGTAGGTGCATTGTACATTCGATCGAAAATAAATGGGAGAGAGTTGCTCTATTGTATCTTTTGCACATCGTACTAGCAGGATGAACGCCAATAGGAAGCGGTTGACGAGTGCCATGCCGTGGTAACCAGTATTACAATGCAACGACCTCTGGAGGGTCAAGTTGCCCTGACGATTTTCTCCAGCAAGACACTGTTTTCATCGAAGTGTATGAAACTTGTAAATACATATCTGCTAGTGTGTTTATACGTAGAGCTAACTTAAACAGTGGTCTTCATGAGCGTACAATTTCCCATCCTTGTTAATGTCTACACGGTGTAGGCTACACCTCCACTAAAGCTTGGAGGCAAACCGCCTAAGAATGGAGATCTCATGCCAGCCTAAGGCAACGAATATGCTCGTAGATGTCCAACTAGCACTAAACATAGGGCACAGTCCAGCTCACTTCAATTTCCTGACACGAATGCTTCAAGAGTGTTATTTTCCAGGGGGTGGATTCGACTTTTGGTAAGTACATCTGTAGAACCACGGATATTCAATATTCTGTCGGATAAACATGCACTTTATGATAGGAAATGGAAGTAAAAATGTGAATATTAGTAGTCACAGAATTCATCTATGGTCACTGCGCTAGAGGGAGACAGCTCAATGCGTTGTCATCATCTCCTTGTAAAACTTGTTGTATTCCTGAAGAATGATCTTATCCGGATCAGTACGCCAAGTGTTTTGTTTTAGCAGCAGTAAGTTGAAAATATCATCCTGAGTTTTTCCATCGTAGAACCACCGTGCAAACTGCGCAGTCTGCAACTCCTTCGATATTTTCTTCGTTTGGGCAAGCTGCTTCCCCTGTTGTAGTAACTGTGCGACACCCAAATCCGTGTAATGAGTAGTGAGCGTTACAAGCAAGGTAGTCTCCTTCCCGGGATTCACCCGGTTGAACTCGTTCAGATAGCTAGTCCATGCGCTCAGCTTTGGATCAGTGAGAACCGTCAAATCCGGATCGTTCAGCTTCAGCAATTTGAAGACATCGTTGGGCGATTTCTTCTTTGACAACCATAGCTTGTTCTGTTGACTCTGCAACTTCGTCGCAATACTTTCCGTACTTGACACTTTCTTCGCTGCTTCGATCATCTCTGAAAGAGTCGCTTCATTGTATCGCTTTGCCAACAACGAGAACAGCGAGATGGCATCGTTAGGATTGTTCCTGTTGAAATCATCGACGTATGAAGTCCAGGTAGAGAACCGCGACCTCTTGAAAAGCGTGGACCCTGTTTCGTCCAGTTTTAGCAACTTGAATACATCATCGCCCGATTTTCCAGCATCCATCCAGACCCGCCTCTGCTGAGCCTGCAACAGGATGGCGAGACCTTCAGTGGTCGAGACTTTCTTGGCCGACGCGATCATTTTAGCCAGCGAGTCCGGTGTGTACTGCGTCATCAACTTCGACAAGATCATCTCCTCGGGGTTCTGCTTTTCGACCTTGGCCACTTGGACCACCCAAGTCATAAACTTCGGTTCTTCAAATTTCTTGTTTCCTGCCATATTCAGCTCTAGAGTCTTGAAAATGTCGTCGGTAGATCTCCCCTTTAGCATCCAGGAACGGTTCACGTGAACTGTCCCTAGTAGAGCGTGATTGATCAATCGCAGAGGAGAATCAACTGGGTGGAAGACTCTCAAGCATTACGAGGATACAACATTGAGAGCTGCTAGGAGAGAGTAGTAAGGAGGACAAGTAGGATGAATTTGACTAAAACTAATCTTATCACTTCGACATTTCCCTCCAATTACTCAAGCGTCCTTGAGAACTGTACTTCAGAACCGCCCCTCAACAGTATCATGTAAACTTACAGATAAACCCACTCGATAATGAAAAGTGATTAACAATGGATATGATGTTAAATATAAAGTACCCTTTGAATAATACAACCATATGTCCTCAGGGGCGTTTTTTTTTAACCCTTTCGCGATAAAAGGAAGCAGAATGCCCCCTTTTCCTGGTTTTCAACTAAGTACGACGATGTATCCATGTTAAAGGAGGCAAAATGCCTCCTTTTATAATTAAGTACGTTTACGACAGGTCGTTATGGGCATAGAAAAACCAAGCAAATCACACTTGGAAGATTTGAAGGTGGTCCATCACTCGCCTTAAAGGAGGCAAAACGCCTTCTTTTGATACCGACTATCCTAGATTTGTATACTATAGTTCACTAAAGTGGCTCGCGAAAGGGTTAACTGTTGTTGAACCTCAACATTTGCAGCATCTATGTGCATAGTTAATTAAGCAATCTACCTAGAAAAGGTTGTACGGGATGTAGTACAATGCGCACCTTGTTTTCGGCACCGGTGTAATCTTATATCCGGTGATAATCAATTTGGATTTGAAGACGTTCAGATGATAAATCACCCTTAAAAAATGATGCAGTCTAGTTTTTGGTTTGGTCCACTTTGTCGAAAATGAGGTGCACGACTGTACTACAATTCAACCGACTCGAGCTTGTCCTTCAAAATCCCTTGAAAGTTCCCGTGGTATAGCTTAATCACGGTGAATGTTTTGATTACTTCACTTTTTGGCCACTCTTTATACGTAGTAACGCCATTTAACTTAGTTTCACTAAATCGTGTTTTAGCAACCTTCCGGTGGGTTCTGTAGTGTAGTTTAGATAAACTACCAATGAAAGTGTCCATTTATATACGTCAAGTATATATATAGTGTTTACATAGATATTGGAGTGCAAGTTAAATACTACTAAAAGTGTGTCAACAGCAATGAAATGTTCAGTATTTTGAGATAAAGAAGTTAGATTCAGCATTCGTAAACCCAAACCTCCGCGGAGAAGTTATTCCTGTGACAGTTACAACTTTAGTTATTCCCGTATCTTATTTATTTTAAAGAACCATATCGTAACCTTCCCGACATATTAGTGAATTGGTCATTTATCAAGCTGCATATTTTAACTTGTACAACTCGTCGTAGTTACTGTAAATCCTCCAAACCGCCGTGTCTTCTGGTCGGTCTTGAACTCGAAGCCATTTGTAGACAGAGGTTGGGGGTTTCTTGTTGTACATCCAACGGAGAGTGAGAGAATCCAGTAAGTTAGCAGCGATTTTCTGAGTGCTGTCGACCTTTGTTGCCTCCACCAGCATATTTGCTAGAACACCATCGTGTTTGTAGTGCTCCTTCAATATCGAGAGCATGTTCACTTTTCGCGTGGGGTTTTCCTTTCTGAAGTATTCGACGTACAGCACCCAGGTGTTGAGAATGGGACTGTCGAACAACTTTTCCCCTGTTTTTTCAAGCTGCAATCGTCTGAAAACGTAGCTTGGTGCATTCCCCTCGCTTAACCAATACTTAAGTAAATCCCGTTGCAATTGCGTCGCTAGATCCTCTGAGTTCGGGTTTTTGCTTGCAGCAACGAGCATGCTTGCCAGATTTTTATTCGAAAAATACTTTGTCAAGGTCGAAATCACAGGTATAGTCTCCTTGTGGTACATTAAGTTGTAATAGTCCGTGTACTTCGTCCACGCGATAAACAGTGAGTTCTCCAGAAGAGTGTCACCTTCCGTATTCAGCTTCAGCATCTTGAATATATCAGTGGGGGACTTCTGCTTCGTAAGCCATGCGTTAGTCAAGTCTGCTTCGATTCGCACTGCAATTTGCTCCGTAGTTGGGACCTTATGCGCAGCGACCAGCATATCCACCATGGTTTGTTCATCGTATTTTGTCAACGTGGAGATGAGAGTTGTTTTTTGGTCAGGGTGCACCTTGTTGAAATCGTCCAAGTACTTTGCCCAGGTGACCACTTGAGGCTGTTCGAAAAGCTTGTCTCCCGCCTTATTAAGCTTCAGCAACTTGAACACGTCGTCTGGGGATATATCCTGAGTGATCCAGCGCTGGATCTGCTCTGTCTGTAGGCGTTTGGCGACAGTCGCAGTCGCAGGGACCTGCTTCGCTGTCTCGATTATCTTGGCCACACCGTCGTCGCCGTAGTGCGACGTGAGTGTCTTGATTAGAGTAGTTTGTTGCTTAGGATTCTTGGAGTTGAAGAGCCTCATGTAGTTAATCCAGGCTTGTAGTTGCGGGTTAGCTAGCAGATCGTCAGCTATGTTGTCGAGCGTTAGAAGCTTGAAGACGTCATCGGTGGATTTTCCAGCCTCGAGCCACGTCTTGAGCCGCTTGGTAGTAGTTGACTTCAAGGAATTTGAGAGTTGTTCTAAACCGGCAGTGACACCTCTCTCTTCGTCATTTCCATCACGGTATGAGCGGTCGTGTGTCCTCAGGAGCCTCTTGGTGGAGTCAGAGTGCTGATTGAGTGGTAGTCCCGTGTCGGGTGAGGCGCCCTGAGATCCCGAAGCGACGAGGAGAGAAATAACTGTCAGCAGCAGAATCTTCAAAGGAGCCATACCTCGACACCAATTCCTTGTTCTCGTGAGCACCAAGCAATAGGAAATGCGAAGCCAGAGAGAGAGAGAGAGAGAGAGAGAGAGAGAGAGAGAGAGAGAGGGAGAGAGACCACTGCAACGCGTCGAATACAGTGCAAATCGTAAGAGAGCCATCTCCGTATCGAACCGATATTATCGACGATAATCCGCCTATGCATAGCAATTCTAACTTTCAAGTGGATGCACATACCAATGATACAAATACCAAGAGCGTTGTGTACGAGTATGCAATAGAAGTATTACAGTAATAGTAGGTTTTATATTCGAGGTGAAAATGTCACAAACGTTTCCACTGAGCAGCAGCACAATATGTTTAGGTGTACCAAAGCTTTGTAATGCTCCAATATCAAGAGTGTGACTTTCAAATATTAAATAGGTTTGATAATTGGGTTTATCCTGGGATTATCCTGGGATGGAACGGTTTTGCTTTTTTTCCGTTCCCTCGCAACTTGACGACCAAGAATCACCTAATTATTAAAAGGGGGGTCGAACATTGCAAAAAGCGGGCTTAAGATCCCGACCAGGTTATGCTCATGTTTTTGACACAAACCTGCTAGTTTCAAAACAAGCCACCTCCTGAGGGTGGCTTACATTGAAATGAGCTAGTCCTTTTACATCCAAAAAAAATCTCCCACCGACCCAAGGCGCGTCGTGCAGCACACATGTGGGAGATAATTGCCGCGCAGAAGACTGTACTCATAACACGGCGCTAGTGCACCAGGGCACGCGCTCCTGTAGCCTGTGACGGCGCCGCTGCCGTGTCTCTGCGAGTCGTTGCTTTTGAAAATGCAAAATAAATCGACTCCCTTTTTACTGTTTCTGCTCAGATTTTGTGCACTCTTCTGCTTACAAATTGGACACGACTCTACTTACTTTTTGGATTATATTTGAATCTTCGACCCCCCCCCCCCCTAATAGTGGATGTCAGACTTGGTCAAAATCCAAAAATTATCCCATACCATTTCGCCCCAAACTACATGAGATTTTCCGGTAAATAGCATGTCATTTCAAAATCACCCACCACTGGAGGTGGGTGGTTTCGAAGTACCAGGCGCCAATTGGCGTAAATATAAAATCCCTTTAACGTATTTTCAGTCTTCTTTCCTCATCGAAGGGGAACATCATGCGTTGCGAAGGCGTTTTACCTTTGTCTATCCAAGGCAATACACGTGCTGCTGACCTGAGCGAGAACGTCCTCACGGCGTTAACGGCTTTGGCTTCCATTCTGCGACACCAGTGAGACGTCAAATCGTGGCTTGTAAGCTTTCTTACCGTTGTACCCTAGTTGTCGTTGTGTTGCAGCTGTGTAGCTATGCCAAGAAGGCACTAAGCCACTGCTGAATCCTCTAAGGTCCTTCTATCCCCTGAAGATTATCGTGCTCTCGTAGAGTGGGTTGATAACGTCAGGGCAATATACAAAACGGATGAGAAAATGAAAGCTGAAGCCATATTGGTGCTTGTTGGCAGTGGATGTCGCTGGCAAACACGCGATGCCTTTCTGTCAAGTCACAAATGAACTCGAATGACTCTATTGTGGTGCGTGCGACGCTCCAAAATTCCTCGCTATCTAGATTTTGAATGAATTATTTCGCGAATTCTCGACTTCCCACCCAATTCACTCTTGGCCTCAACCAGCGCCGCGATCGAACTTGCACCAGGACTTCGTATAGCTCCCCACGGTTGAGTCGACAGGGAAGCACTCAAATCAGTCATCAAACGGAGAGCATCCACCGAGGTCTTCATCAAACTCTTTCTCAAGTATTGCTAGAGAGAGGAGATCAACGATCTCATCCGTAAGCGCCTGTCGACCACTGACCTTGGGCGGGAGAAATTAATGCAACCAGAAAAACGGCCCTGCATCCGAAAAAATGCCCTGCACTTTAGGACAATATGCAGGACCAATTAATGACTTGCCGGACATTTTTTCGGGCGGATTATGGGTACATTACCCAAAACGGGCAGGTCGGTGTTTTTGGGGAATATCCAATTTTATAATTGTAGGATATTTCACTACCGATGTTTTTCTCCTCGTCCACTTTTGATATGACTGTGAATGGAGAAACCACTTCTTCATATAGCTCTGCTAACTTTCGGCAATGTGAATTTTCCACATTTCGCATCCGCTCACACGACACAAAGCATCATTGTCCGTAGAAACGCCTCCACACTCCCGGTGGAGATTAACATAAATGCTTCGGATGTATTCACACGATTAGATGCCAATGCTTGGTTGTCTGCGATGGCCGAATTAACTGTCACAACTACTATATCACAGTGATGCGACGATGCGTGTGTTAACCACGACCATCAGTGTACTTCTGCAAGATACCGTTAAACGTTTACGGGCTGTTCATGGTTGCGTAGCCAAATGGAGAGTGAAATATTTTCCAGAGCAAATAGCGGCATTTCTACACAGCTCCGAAAGTAAAACGAAACGAATTCCTGAGAAAATCTGATAATTTCTGAGGCAGCGGCGCCGGTTTCGTTTCGTTCATCGTTTTCAGGACGGTAAACTTCGTTGCCAAACACAAAATGAAACGGAATCTGAAGACGAATTTCCCCCTCTGGCATGGAATCTCAAGGAGGCGAGGCTCTGGAGGCAGTGTCACCTCGGCGTCAAGTGACCCTGCTGCTTCATCTGGCGCGCACAAGAAGACTCAAAGGCGACGGGGAGGCTGCACACCGTCTCCATCGGCTCGCGCTAGCATTGCTAAGCGACGCAAGCCCTCGCTATTCTATTCCTCGTGTCCGCTTTGATATCGAGGAGGTAACAGGGGACACGTGCCTCTTCTTCTACCGCTTTCACGCACACACAACTAAGACGTCTTCAGAAGGCTTTCCAGCTACCAGATCTGATTCGTAACGGGAGGCATTCACGCGCGAAATGCAGCGGTCTGGAAGGGCTGTGTATCACACTCCATCGCTTGGCTTATCCAAGTCAATGGCTGTCCATCTCCGCTATCTATGGCCGATGGCCGAGCGCGCTGAGCATATTTTACCATGTCGTCGAGCACATCAGCTCAAGGAGCGGAAGGAATGCTGCTCTGTTCTGGAATTCGTTTTCGTTGTGAACTGCTTAAGGTCCTTTTACACAGTCGGAACGAATCTCTGCGACGCCTTTTTTTCCGTTGCGAATAGCGTTTTCGTTTTCTTGCTTAAGTGTTCTATTGCACATGTGTACAGGTCATGGGAAAAGCACATCATTTAAAAAGCAGAAATGCATTCAGTCACCTCCTGAGTTCCGTTCGTGTGGACGTCTTCTGCATCTCCCATTACCGCCTCATTAGCTATTTTTCTGGCGGAGCAGATGCGCTCCACGATATGTATGAATGCATTCATACAAATCCTTGGGAAAGGCCGGGAACTCATCATAAATGTGGCTGCAAACTCGCACTTTGTGAGCTAATCTGACATCCGCAGGTGATGGCCGGTTAACTTAGCTCGCACAAGTTAAACGTTGCGTCAGCACGGGGCAGAGTGAAGCGATTACCAGCGCAATACTCATTGTTAGTGTCGATGAGAGCGCGACTCATTATACCCATGCAGTATGAATCGACACCCGTCCCTTCTCCACATAATGATTTCACTGAGTCACCGCGATAGCCAAAACTAAACGAGGTTAGTGTCCCCGTTTGGATTAAAAGCGAGTTCTCGAACTAGTCACTTAACCGCCTGTACTGAGCCTTAGTCCCATGGAGACGACGTAGATACTTAGCGTAGTTGCTTACTTGCTCAATGATTGGATACTGTAGCCTTGAGACGGTGCAACGATATCTGGATAAATGAAAATAAGCTGAGATAAAACAGCACATTCGTCTTGCTGCACAATGAGCCTTTTCATTTCTGCGCTAGCGTTTGGCTCTCTACGCTTGGTCGAGACACCACGAACATGATCCGCTGGATTGTAAAAACAATATACCCCATGTCCATCGCTTTACGCCCCCACATTGGTGAGTACAAGTATTGCTGGTGCATTTTAAGCGCCGGTCCACCATTTGGTGATCACTCCGTTTTCAAGCTTTATATCGCCGATATGGCACGGACTGACTAACGGCTACAACAGAATTTAATATTGTTAAATTCTTCCAGGGCGTCCGCTGATTCTACCTTGTGTAGCTAGCACAGCTATATATAGAGAGCCTTTGTTGGACCGATAGATAATTACCTTTCTGGCGACACATAGCTCACTTCCACCCATTCAGTTTTGGTGCGTTGCCTTTCTTCTTTCCTTTCGTTTTCTGTGTTACCTCTCAACAAGTATGTCACCCATCTCACACTCTCTTCTATTGTACTGCGACGCTACTGCACGCTACTAAATATCTTATTTAGGAATACGGAGGGGGGGGGCATTTTAGGGAGGTAGCTACAACTGAATGTTGTGATAGTAGTAGCAGCAAAGGTGTCCACTAATCGTTGTTATCTACTGGTCCTCTGGTACCAGTAGAATACCTAACAGACGACCAAGCCAACAGAGAGTGCTGCATG